TAAAGGACACTTAAACTGTAAAGCTTCATCCTTTTATTTACTTAAGCCTCTTTGATTCTCAACAACCTGAGCAAAGGAAGAAAAAGAAAAGCACAAAAATAAGGTAGGATAAAGTGAACACAGCAGCAGTAAGATGCAATACTATGAGGAATGGATATCAACATGCGCTCCAGACTAGATTTCTATAGGCTCCAAACCTACTTCATTTACACACTGGGAAATGGAGCACAGGAAGACTGAAAGTTCACACAGCAACTCTATACACACTTACTGAGGAAGGCATGATATACAATTACATCACTAGTCTGAGAAAACATTCACCACAGATAAACATATGAAAAACTACACGCACTCACTCATTATTTCAGAGATGCTCAAAGACCAAGGGGAAGTGAAACCTGTGGACCACCAATGTTGCTGAACATTGGAAAACATAAGCTGCAAGTTAACCAGAGGCTCAAACAGGAGTGCTGGGACTGTCTGAAAGCAAAAGCGCTTCCAAACAGTGCTGCACTGCGCTTTGAAGTTCCAAGAACTGGGATTTCAAAGCACTGCATCCCATGACATCACAACGACACTTGGTGACTGACAAGTGGGAAGACTGATCCACCCATCAAATATGGCCTACCAGGAGGTGGGGCGATAATGATCTGGCTCGCCAGCCATAAAAGATGTCCCAACATAGTAAAGCAATCAATTTTCAAATGGTACCAAGGTACCAAGATTCCTTGCTGTTTTGTTGTATGGCTGCAATCTTACTGAAGTGCAAGACTCATGGAACCAAGTGGGACTCACTTCTATGCTTAGGACAGCTACCCTCCTCTGAAGGCAAGATGGAAAGAGAAAAGACTATTTGGTCACAGACACTGGACAGTCACTGCCGGCAGAAAATGAGGGACTAGAGCCCTGGGATTCAAGTGGTGGGTCGGGTGTCAGGTCCTACCAGTGGGTCGCTGTCTGATCCAAGGTGCAACAAGAACACAACCACCATGAAAACATACAGTCGGAGACGAAGGCATATTTGGGTTACAAGTGGAAAGTGGTTGGGAAAATGCAGCCAGGTGGGCGGGGTATGTATGTATGTATAAATAAATAAATAAATATATTCCTGGGCATGAAAAGATACCTGGACTAGAAGGGCAAATCAGATAGGCGCCACAGCAAGGGGGGAGAACCCATGCGTACCTCCAGCTCTCTCTGTCCCACCAGCAATAACCCCTCCCCAAGCAACATCTGGAGAGCCTCAAGAGCCCCCACCACTGGACTAAAGCCTAGTGGCAGGGCGCATGCGCTGCAGAGGCCTCCCACCCCCTCCCCCACCCCCGGTTCAGCCTCCAACCGAAGGCCTCAGGTGACGAGAAAGGCCCTTTCTCCGCCCGAGGCCCTTTAAGAGCCTCTGGGGGAGCAAGAGGGGTTAAAGCGGAGGGGCGTCACCTGTGAGGCAGGATAAAGCGCCTCGCTGCGCCCCTGAGGGAGGGAGAGAGAGCCCAGCTCTAGGCCTGTCGCTTCGGCTTCTCGTACAGCGCCGAGCACACGGCCGGGCGAGGGGCAGCGATGGGCGGGAGGGCCCTCTCGCCCCCCGCCTGGGCCCTGCGAAGTCCCCCGCCGGCCACCTCCCTCCCTCTCTCCCTCCCTCCCTCAGCCGACGACGTCGACAGGTAAACGGCCAAGCGCGCGCCTCGCTCACCTCACGGCGCGGGGAGCTCCGATTCTGCTCCGGGCGGCGCCCCCTCCCACGTCACGTCACGTCTCGCCTCCCAAGGCTCCCCGAGCGGCTCGGAGGCGAATGAACGAAGCGGAAGCTTTGGACGACCCGGATGTGGAGCCCGGAGGAAGCCGGAAGTGCCGGCGAGTCGCCATAGAGGTAGGAATATCACAAGAGTGGCCCCAGTCTGTTGACAAGGAGACAGGGTTGGGTTGGGGTTTTTTGGGGGGCGGGGGGGCTTCCCCCTTTCCCTTTCTGTTTAATCGTCGGAAAGTTAAGTCGACGAGGCGGAGAGACAGTTTCCAACGCACTTTCTGGTAGCTTTTGGGGAACTGTCCTCTCTGGAAAAGATGGTCTCTAGAGTGAACTCGGAAGCTGATAGACCCAATGCGAATCTACTCGTTATAAGGTTTGTGGGGAGCGTCGCGGGAGCGCATTGGCCGTACTGCGCGTGCGTCAGAACTCGCTTTGACTCAAGGGGCTGCAGTCGCAATGGTTCAACTAGTGAGGCTTCCGGTTCGCTTTCGCAATCAGGCAAAATCCTCCATGTGCGGGGCAAGATCGGTGGTAAATATATAGGAACTGGTGCAATTTAAAAAAATTTTAAAAGGAAATCGGCGTTTTTAAATAACCATGCCCACTTCACAGCCGCATTCACCCCACAAAGATACAACAGAAGCTTGACAACGACAGAGGCATTTTCGCTTTTAAGGAAACCTGTGCACGCAGAAATTCAGCTGGTAGAAATGTAGTGCCGAGATAATATTTTCGTGTTGATTTTCTACCTGTGTGGAGTTAGGGCATAGCAGTGTGCTTTTTATTATTTCGTTGTTGCAGTGCTCCACTTAACAAATCACGTAGGAAGAAAACGACATAGGATTTTTCAAAAACGAGGTTGTGACTTTTAAACGTCGTCCACTAGCTGTTTGTGTTGAATCTGTTCCGTGCACTCCCATATATGCCTACTCAAAAGTAAGCGTTGCTGGATTCCATAAGGCTTGTTCCAGATAGGTGAGCCTAGAAATATTGTCTGTGTTCTCTAAATGTAAACGCACACGAACACTGAAATGCAGGAATTTTTAAAAATGTTTTTTTAAAAAAGCTATTAAACTGTGGACTTGCAACTGAGCTGCATTTAATAGTGGTTTAGCAATCAATCTCTCGTCCTAGGGAACACTGAGAAACGTGGCTCTGTGAAGAGAACAGGGGCCTCCTAACAAGCACCCTTAAGAAACTACAGTTCCCAGAATTCTTTGGCAGATGCTGACTGCTGGAATTGGTCTGGCTCAGGAGGTTCATAGCGGCAGCTGTGTGGACCTAGGCGATTTCCATTGATGCCACTCCTTCTGGACCAAAATACCATTTTTCCCTTTTCCATTTGAGAACCCTAGGCCTAGAGCAACATTCCATGGCTGTGATGAGGGACTAAGCACATGCAGCGAGAACACAATTTAAAATGTTTTTTTTAAAAACTCGGGGGTAGGCAGCATGGTGAATTCAACTTGCTTCAAGGAAAAGTAGCCTGTTGCAACTCTTTCATTTACTCTTCCATTCCACCTTTGCCTCTCCTAGGAAAGATTCTAACCACAACCAGAATTATAAGGCAAGCTGGGATTTTTTATCGACTTGTCTAGGAGTTTGCCCCACCCAGCTGAAGAGATTTGCCCACATCCTGCAGCCAATCAGCGGCATCCTCTTCCCGAGGCAGAGCTCAGCTGATGCTCCTTCTAGCAAGGAGATTTCCTTAGCATGACGTGGCAGTGGAAGGCGGACAGCCTCCTTTCCATCCCTCGCCTATGATTTCCTACGCATGTCTATAATGTTCCATTGTTTCCATTCGGACTTAGCTTTCTCCCGCCGGGGCTGAGAATTTCAGCCGCCCACCTTCTGAAATGCTTTGACGAGGAGCACTCAGGATCCTTTCTCCATTTCACTTTCTAAAGTTCAAGGCTTGCCACTCATCCTGGATAATACAGGGTTGTCCCCTGTTTCAATGTGAAATGTTACATCTTGTACTGATACAGTTTGTTCTGTATTTCCGCCTCTCTGCCAAGTTAGGGAATGCATGTGTTTGAAAAGGTCTGTGAAAGGTTATGTATTTAAGCTCTGCTAGCAAAGCACAAACAGATTCACACATTCATTTGTATGTGTGTGCGACAAATTCCAGAGGGGCCATTCCGTTAGGCTGCAATAGATTAATAAATAAAAAAATCCCTGTCTCACCCTGGTCATTATTTTGCCACAACAAGGTGGCAACCTTAAAATGTATTTATTATTATTATTTCATTTATGATTTTCAATTTTATACATTTCAATAATATAACAATCATTTTAACATCTCAAAACTTGACTTCCTTCCCCCTCTTTCTCCGGGTCCTTAAATTTATTTTTAACATTTTCTGCATATCCAAATTAACTTAATTTGCTCATTTATTCATATATACTCTTATAAAATTGCAGGTTATTACAATAATCCTGCTAATGTTCTTATCTGTTTACAGTTTATATGTAAATATTCAATAAACTATTTCCATTCTTTTGTAAAAAGTTTGTTATCTTGATTTTTTTATTCTTCCAATAAGTTTCACCATTTCTGCATGTTCTATAAGTTTTTGTATCCATTCTTATTTTGCTGGGACTTCTTCTTTCCATTTTTGGGCAAGTAACATTCTTGCCGCTGTAGTTGAAAGCAACCTTACAATGTAAACCCCTACAATAAGTGTGGGGCAAGACATTTACTCGGTGGGGAAGAGGCTGCAGCTCAGTGAAAGAGCATCTTTTTTTGTGTAGGTGACCCTAGGTCCTCAATATGAAATTTTACATCTTGATCTGACATTAGAAGACAGACCTTTGAGTGCAGGCTTGTAGGAGTTCCTGTGATTGAACCACAGCATCTTTCTCTAGAAACCCAGGTGGGGAGCACCCCTATTCCTTACTTCTCTAGGCCAGGTGGGCCAATGAGGATGAGATATTCGGCAAGGAAATCCTCTCTTAAAACTAAAGCACAACCAGTCTGTTTCGATGCCTACTAACAAGTACCAGCATGACAGCAATGAATCCCTTGCTCAGGTTGTTCACTGCCATGGTAAATATTCAGAATCAAAGTGATGGCGGGGATGCGGAAAACAGTTTCACCTTGGGAGAAGGAGACACTCTATCCTCTGACACTCCCACTTCTCATTGGTTTCTCCAGGCTGGATATGGAAGCACCTAAATCCCCCCACTTCTCCTTTTTTTCTTTTTAAAAACCAGCCTTTCATTCCTTGGAAATGGGTTGCTGTGAACCATCATCACTATGGGAGCAGGACAGGTTGCTAAGCCCTGCAGTGGAGTGGTTGCTGTAGCAGCTGCGAAGTGATAATGTGGCTGTTATGCCCGTTCGAATTAAGCCCTATTCCCATGGTAGCAGTATTCCGCATGACAGCTTTAATGGCATGGGCAGGAGGGGCTCTGGTGAGGTGGTAGTGCAACAGGATTTTCACCACCAGTCACCATGGCAATGGAGGGTTAGCCTTGAGACCCCAGGAAGCAGCCTGTGTGGACGCTGGGAAAAAAGAAAAAGGGAGAACGTCACCGGCTGAAAAAGTAAATAAACCTAATGTTGAGTTCAGAAGAGGAGCTGAATTGAGAGGAAGTCGGCGAGAGGCAACGGGATCTGCGCAACGCTCCCATGCGCTGTTACCTGGGCGGAAGGGAAAACTCTCGTTACTGGAACAGGCCTCATTGCTTTGCCTTTGACAAGATGCAGGTTGGCAAAACGGATCCGCACAGGATGGATGTTCCTTCTCGATATACTACCAAGTGAAGCATAAAACAAGTCCAAGGCCAGGAACACCCCATTTCGGGCAGGGAGAAATCCAGACACCAAAGGTAAAGCGGAAGAGGAAGTTTTGTCACGTGCCGAGCAACTTCAAAAGGAGAGGAAGCAACCTTATACATGAAATAAACAAGCTAAGAAAGTGGAATATTCTCAACAGGAAGAACTGCCCTCTCTGCTAAGTTGTCCCAGCAAGAAAGGAGGAGGGAAGGCAAACTGGGCATTGGGCAACTTTGGACTTTGTTGGGGACTGGTCGGAGAGCAGCTGGTGCTGACAGCTGCCCCAATGCTGGATCACAGAACTAGGATGGACAGCTCCAAGAAGGGGAAGGTAATGTTTTACATTTGTCTTCTAGTTTGGGGGAATCTCCTTGGGTGGATGCGAATCCTGCATAGGTTTGGCTGCCCTGCAGAGCATAGTACCGATGTGATGGTTCCCCATGCTGATGTTTGCAAAGTCACAACCCAGAAATCGCACATGGAGCAGAAATTCACTGGTGCAATTGTCTTCTGTGATTTGCTGCTCCCCTGGTGTTGCCGCCCAGCAAGCACCCCTTCTTCATTTGCGGCAGCAGGCAAGATCCCCAAGGGGATCCTACAGGCGGGGAAGAGGGTAGAGTATGGGACCACAAAGGAAGCAGGTGGGTGAAGCTGTGGTTGCTTCTTTTTCTTCCTTGGGGAATTTAAAGCCACACACATTCGCTGGAGTCGCAACCTTGCAACCCTACCAATGGAGGGCTCCACTGGAGTAAACGAAGAGAGCCACCTTTAAAATGTAAAGTTCAGACTCCAGATCTCTTATCTCCCCGAGACTCGTTTACCTTTCTCCTTCACCCGATTGCTAATTTTGCTGAAGCTTAAAAGTGTACAGGCCAATGTTCCAAGGGGAATTAACCTGATTTTGAGAGCCTCCATTTCTGGGTTTTGCAGCTAAAGTCAATTTAAATGTTTTTGCATAGGCACACTTGCAAGCCCAGAGCAGTTTGCAGAAAGTAAAAAACGCAATAGGTCAGTAACCGACGTGCATAATAAAAATCTTAGCTATCGCTGCACCATAACACTAAGAGGTCAACAAAGAACAATTTATTTAAAAAAACATCAGTGTAAACGACCATCAAGCTTACCAATAGGTCAATTAGGAACACCCTAAAGTAGCCCCCAAACTGATGGCAACAGTACCTTCTCTTGCTTTTATCCCCAGACTCAAAAGGCCACCCCTCCTCCTCAGTTCAGCTGCTCCCTTACGAAAGCTCCCAGGGCAGGAGAGTGAAACACGGCAAGTAGGAGCTGCTTCCCCAGATGTCAAAGACAGGGTGCCTCCAGAGTATCACTATTTGTGTATGAGATTCAATCACATACCAGCAAATCCATCTTTCTCAATCAAAGTGGATTTGGTATCCTTGTGCTTACAAAACAATGAATTAAATCTATATAGTTTTTCTGTAAGGAAAGTGAAGGGGAAATGTGCTGGAAAGTGTGGCATGATGATTGTGCAACATGCCATCATCTAACATCCCTGCAAACAAAGAAAGATTAATGTTTCTTAAATAGCTGATACGGAAGTGACCGTGATCTCCTCCTCCTCTCTCTATCACAGGTGGGGAAAACTTTTGGCCATCCAGATGTTGCTGAACTACAATGCCCATCAGCTCATAGCCAGTGGCCAGTGATAATGGGAGCTGCCGTTCAGTGGCATCTGGAGGGCCAGATGTTCCCTACACCTGCCCAACTACCTTAAAGGCGTTGTCATTTTTAGGGTGTGTTTCTTGTGCAAGATGCATTACGTTTAGCCTATTTCATCTTCCCAACGGTCCTGTAATGTGCCCATTCTAAAAGTGGAAAAACTGAGGCTGAAGGACAAGTGCAACCCTGAGTCTGCTTAGATCCCTGGTTTAGATCAGGGATGCAGAATGTCTGGCCCTGCATGCGTTGTGGACCCCAAGCCCCACCACCCTTGACCATTAGCCATGCTGGCTGGGGCTGATGGGAGTTGGAGTCCAACAATATCTGAATGGCCTAAGGTCCCCCACCCCTGATATAGATAGCTACATGCCTAAACCTTTTGTTTAGCAGGCTCAGGATATTACTGGGGAGCAGAAAAGTTCTTAAGTGGTTAGAAAAGATAACAAGAGCATCTGGATCCTTGAACTCGTGTTTCTAACAGTACACTGGTATCCTAATCCTCTGCGTTTCTACGTAAGACCCCTTGAGATTTAAGGGATTTGCTCCTAGGCAAGCGTCCACAGGATTCTGACCGAAGGCAGTCTGGCCGTGTGTCTGATGCTGTTCCTTTTTTCCAACAATAACATTGTGTTTCATTTCTAATAAATATTGTTGGATGGAGAAGGAGTTTGTGGCGTGGCATTTCGCTTAGAACTAATTCACAACGGAAAGTTAAGTAGAGAACAGTCTTAGATGTTTGTAGGATCCTGTCCCAAAATAGTTTTCATGCCGCTGTGGTAGAAGAAGGATTAAATAACTCAGGCTATCAATCTTTTTAAAAGAATCTGAATTCCAAGCAGGTGGGGTGGAGGGTGATCTGTCAATTCCAGTTCTTTAGGGTTCTCATTTTCCAATTTAAAATTCAGCTCTCTACATTCCTGCAGTAATTTGCTCTTTATTTATTTGTTAAACTTCATGAAAAAATCTTCAGTATTTTTCATTGCTTTCTCCAGTTTTTGGAAGCGGTTTTGACTAATGTACACATTGTGCAAGCAATTTCTCCTAATAATTTTGTTGGTGTTGCTTCCACTGGTATAATACATTCACTTTTATGCACTCTTTGCATTTTTTATACGTATTGTTTGGCTGGAGAACAGCATTACAAAATTCAGATGAGTGCAAATTTCAACGGATGTCTGTGTTTCATTTCATATAATTTCAAAAAGTGCAAATTTGATAGAACTGGCTTCAGATGTAAACTGAGTTGAAATTCTCTCCTCCCCCAGCCTTACTAGATCAATAAAACTGTTCTAGCATTGCAGTCTTAGACATATCTGCATCTTCGATAACAAGCAGGATCCAGCTGAGTCTAATAGGGTTTACTCCTAGGCAAATGGACATCTGATTGCAACCCAGCTGCACAACCCCAATTCCCAGACCTGTGCCACTAGAGGGGGTTAGGATAAGGCGGCAGCTTTGGGATGGTCCTTTTGCACTGGGCCCGGCATTCCTGGCCTGTCTCCATCAGAGTCAGACCTGTTTAGCCTGTCCTGCAGCCCATTCACTTTGCTTCTGTGCAACAGCTTGAGACTGATGCAGTCTCAAGGCAAGGCTCTGTCATAAGTAGAAATAGAGGAGAAATTAAAGGTGAACCTACCTAATATGAATTTTCTGAAACACAGTCATCCTTCAAAATTCATGCCCCCAAGTTTTGCAGTGCCAATATAATATGTGTAGAAAAACACATATATTTGGGGAAATAACGAACACAAAATGCATTACATTTGGATAAATCATTTTGCAAAAATGTGTATATTAGGAAAAATTGCATACAAAATGTGTGTGTTAGTAGAAAATGGCACTGACGAGACTTAAAAAATAAATAAATCACAATCCGATGTGGAAATGTGGAGAATGGGAGACTGGAGAAACGAGAAACGGATAAAAACTGAAATTGACAGATTTGCCCATCCCTAGTCGCAAGCAAAGAATCTTCCTCCTCATGCATGCAAAAGGAAAGTGGTGTGCTTAAGGACTGGATTAAGGTGGCCGATGTTCTGTGGTCCAGATGTTGGGTCCAAATCCTACCAGCCCCTGCCAGCATTGCCAAGGGCCAAGGAGGATGGGAGATGAGGTCCAACACCATCTGCAGAGCACCATGCTGGCTACCCTTGGCTTAGACAGGCTTCCTCAAACTCGGCCCTCCAGATGTTTTGAGACTACAATTCCCATCATCCCTGGTCCTGCTAGCTAGGGATCATGGGAGTTGTAGGCCAAAAACATCTGGAGGGCCGAGTTTGAGGAAGCCTGGCTTAGAACATTCACTTGTGATTTGCAGAAGGAAACTATGTACCTTTAATGGCTTGGCTGTGCTTTTGCTATGGAGGTATGCATGAAAATTATCGCATCATCACCTGTACATCTGAGAAACAATCAAGGTGGAAGGGAGATTTTTAGAAGGCCCAACCTCTTCAAGCACTGCTGAGGCATTGAGGTTGCAAAGCCATTCTTCCTAGTGGCCTTCTATATTCACAGCCAGGATAGAAAAAAGACTAGGTTTTGTCCTAACCTTTCAAAGCATGCTCATGGCAGAAACAGGCATTCTAATACTCATGACAGTGCAGGGCCAGGGCTCTTCATTAGTCCATAAGAGGCAAAACTACATATTACAGGCAACATGGGGGTGAATCTCCATATCCAGTTCTCTCCAGCAACTTTCATGGTCATCCTGTTGTGAAACAATGTGGCGATGTCACAACATGGGGTGAGCATTCCTGAGCATTGCAGTGAAGACATGGGAGTTCCATTCCCAACAATAGTTGCTTCCTGGTCTATGCCTCCCTGCATGTTTGAGTCGCGTTGACCCTGTATGTTTGAGTGGCGTTGATCACTTCTTAATACTGAATCAAGATAAAAGACATTGGCCTGGCCATAGAATAATCCTATAGAGATATTTGGGGAACATACTTGGAATTGTAATATAATACTATTATGAATGAATTTGATTTTTATCCCACCCTTCCTGCAGGAAGCTCAAGGCACACAAAATCTCCCTATGCTCCCATTTTTATTATAGCAACAACACTATGAGCTAGGTTGGTCTGAGAGAGAGACAGAGGGCATACTTTCTGTCTCACTCTTTCCAGGCAGAGGTCCACACAGAAGTCCAATGTTCAAGCATTGATTTTTTTTGTGTGTGTGTGTGTGTCCTGATTTTTCCTCACTGAGACCTGCTCTTTAAAGCTGAATCGGCGCAAACTTCACTTCAGATTTTTGTATTCAGGGGGAATCAGCAATAACCTGAGGCAGGGGGAGATCACTTAGGGTGATCTCCATGGGTGAAATCACATGGGAGGTGCCTTGTGGCGGGGCCTCCTTCAAAATTGGCACCAATGTGCTCAGCATTAAGAGAAGTTTGCGAGCACAATTCAAAGTGTTGGTGCTGACCTTTAAGGCCCCAAATGGCCTCGGTCCAGTATATCTGAAGGAGTGTCTCCACCCCCATCGTTCTACCCGGACACTGAGGTCCAGCATCGAGGGCCTTCTGGCGGTTCCCTCTCTGCGAGAAGCCAAGTTACAGGGAACCAGGCAGAGGGCCTTCTCGGTAGTGGCACCTGCCCTGTGGAACACCCTCCCACCAGATGTCAAGGAGAACAACAACTACCAGAC